CACACACACACACACACACACACACACACACACACACACACACACACACTTCCTATTACAGCATCTGGAGCCAATTCCTGTCAAACACTCTATTTTCAACCAAATGCTCCAATCTCAATTTCCCCTTAGAACATTTGGTTCAAATCATTTCCAGCTACTTATATGATCCGAGCCTTGAGCAGCCTTTGTGATCCAAATCTCTAGAACCATACAGTGGCCTTGTGATCTGCACGGGGATGGGCCAGAGCGGAGTGCAACGCTTCAAGGACCCTCGGCATAAAAGCTTCCTTCATAGAGGAGTCTGTTCTTTTGTCCGTCTGCATCACGACCCGAGCTTCTATTCTTGCACCGGAGATTGGGTAAATTAAATTGCATGTTTGCCTCGTGAGGCAAGGGTCCCCGAGGACCGAAGAGAGACCACACCATCTCTGCATCCTGTTCATGTGATCCCGGGTAAGTCGGGAAACCAGAAACCTAAACAGCCCCCATGATTTATCCTCCATAGCCGCAACATTTTGCTGAAAATACAACTGCTGACGAGAAAAGGAGGTCAAAGGCAGGGCAACTTCTACACATCATTTGGTCAGAACAGTGATTTGGAGGGTTCTAGAAGTAGCCAAACTTTACACAGGCAATACTTTTACTCACATTTTTTAAAGTTGGTGTTATTGAATTATGGCTACTGCTCGTCTAGTATCATTGCATTTTTCAAAAACGGTAATATAACTCAGACAATGCAGCACATATGGTGATGCAAACTGTCAGACTGTCTGGAAGAGATAAAAACAAGACAAAAACAGACAGAACACCGTGCTGTGGTGCATCTCCATCGATGGAAGTCAACACAGCTCTGACATACAACAACCCTGCAGATTCATTTATGACATCCTGCTTTCATAACAGCTGGCTCTGCAAGAGGAAATCACATCATTCATGCAGAAACTGCTGAGCTTGTCGGTGGCATCGGTGCATTTCCCGGAGTGACGACAAGCAGCGGGGGAGGCCGGGGGATTTTTAGGAGCGGCCCGCGTCTAAAATTGGCCCACGTCCTTCCCATACGGAGAGTACATTCACACACATCCAGGGTGGCGTGACAAGAGGAAACATGCAAGCAAAGCAAAGTATGATGCACAAAGCAGGCGGGAAAGGGAATATGACAACAATAAAAGCAGGAAAGGGATTGGGGCGTAAAAGAAAAATAGAAGAAAAGCAGAGTAGAGGGTAAATAAATGATGACTGTGTCCACGTGTGTGTGTGTGTGAGTGAGTGAGTCAGCTCGGAGCTATGGGGCCTTTGGCAGATCTCTCCTTTGTCTTCAGCTCGGACGGAGTGTTCCGTTCGTATGCTCCTCTCCCCACCACCCCTCTCCCCTGGACAAAACACTCCTGTTTCATCACCACTACTACTACTACTCCTGCTACTGGTGGTGGAGGAGGAGGACACAACAGGCTCTGACCTGAGATGTGTCAAAAAGATAAGCCGCGAACGTGACCTCTCAATGCATGTACTCATACTGACAGATAATGCATGAGAAGTGACTAAAGTACAGTGTGAGGCAACTCCATGACTACGCTCACTGGTGCGTGATGCGAGCATGCTCTATGTTTGAATGCAAAAGGTATGTGCAGCAAGCGGAGAGAGAAATGAAAAAGGTCGGCTTTGTGGGATGGTTGTCAGTCTTCAAGAAAGTGTGTGCAGACCTCTGCTGTTTGGAGGCAACCATCCACAGGTTCAATGCAAAAATCTAGCTGAATCATCTAAACCCGCACAAATGCACAAAGTACCAGATAGCAGAAGTCACACTGTGAAAGTGGCGGTTACCCCTGAATACAAACATCTCTCTTAACACTCTGTGCAGAGGAGTTTTCCATTCTGCATGGGCCCATCTGAACTGAGGTGCACTCACTGTCCTGTGTGCTGAACAACACAGCTCGCTCTTCCACTGGGAACAAAGCAGTGGCTTATTCTTTGCTCCGTTTTGCACCAGAGTCCGGTTCACCCTCCGCTTCCAACAATCCAACCGCGGAGAGTAAATCAACAGCCTTTGCTCGACACACAGACACGAGAGCAAGGCTTTGGGTTCCTACCACTGATCTCAGTCTTAGTCTGAGAATGTGACCCCTGCTTGGATTTGAAGCCAAACGTACACTGGATACAGGCTGCTGGGGGCCACTCGCACACGTGAGCTGAGACAGAAGGACTTACTGGCAGGCTAATACAACTGACCTGGTATAATGGGAGAGGTTAGTGGCCAGCTAACTGATTGGACAAGTTCGAATGACAGGACGAGTTTCATCTTACCGTTTGTTCAGCACCATGTTTCCCAGCTTGAGGTCTCTGTGTACAATGTTTTTCTGCACGGAGGAAAGAAAGAGAAGAGAGTTTGCTTAGATTGTGCTTCGTGAATCATTGGTATCAAAACAATCTGCTTGTTTTTGAGAGTGGCACACGAACATGGGCGATGAGTAATCAAAAGGTAAAATGTGAACTAAAATGTGAATAACAAAGTGATGATGTCATTTTCTGGCATGCGCGCCGGTTTCACTACAGCGAGTATAAAATAACTTTAAGCCTCACCTACTTGCCCGGGGCAAGTAAAACGGCACGTTGGGCTAGTAAATTTGCCGTATCGCACAACTAGTTAAAAAAAAAAAATAAAAAAAAATAAAAAAATGAATTACACACATGATGATGGAAGTAGCTACGGAGTGAATTCTCCTGGAAACAGGAGTTTAGTCGGGTGAAATAGAGGACGAAGTCTTTGTTAAATAACCAAAAACATTAACGAGCCCTGCTAGTGCATCTTTTCTTGGAGTAGTTGAACAAATTCTTTCATAGACTCACCTTATGAAGGGCGTCCACCACACGCACCACATCGTAGAAAATAATGATGGCTTCACGCTCGCTTAGTCTCTTCTCCTTTATAACGTAATGCTGGAGGTTTATTAGATCTGCCGTCTTGTCGCTGAAGTCATGAGCACACAGGCAGTCAAGCACGAGACAGATCCGCTTCTTCATCTTGCGCACCTTGTTGGCCTCCATGTCCTCCACTATTTCGTAGGCGCGATCCTGAAGGAGGGGGAAACAACAAAGAGAAGCGTGAGCAGCTATCTTCAGGAAGGGGCTTACTTCGTAAGTTGTTGATGCATTTTAGAGGCACTTTCCAACAGTGTCCAATCAATAAAGGTTGAGGCATTCATGAACGCATCAAACTGAATGGATTCCTGTACGATGCCAGCTGAGCGAGCTGATTCATTCAGCTTAGAAGGACATAGATTCACGCAGAGTAGAGGACATCAATCACCAGCCTGCATGCAGCCAATGAATAAGACACGTCCACCCCGACGCATCGGTTGGTGGAGGATGAATAACAGAGCTCATTCCTCGAATTCCAACTCCAGCCCCAAATAGCAGAGTCACCACTTCGTATTGATAGCTGTATCAGGTTGTCAATTGCAGTCAGCGCCTCTGAAAAAGTGTACATTATGAACTGGTTCTCTCACAGCGGAGATGCACTATAATAATCGATATCGCAGGCCTAAATGAATCAGAGTGCACGGCTCAATGCTGCTATTCTGAGAACACAGGCAGAGTGGAACCAACAGATATATATGTGTGTGTGAGTGAGTGAGTGAGTGAGAGAGAGAGAGAGAGAGAGATGACATTGAGGAGGCAGATGGAACAATAACAAAGTTAAAGGAGGAGGCAGACGGGAATACAGGTGAGGGGGGGGTGGGGGTCCTTATGAATGGATGGAGCTGTGGATAGATAATGGCTACAGATAAATATGGCTTTTAAATGGTGCTCCCACTTCTCCCTTGAAACAACCCTGATAAGCAAAACACAAGCAGCTGGCCGGACTAATGACAAGCTCACCGCTGCCATTACGGGGCTGATGAGAGCACGGCGTTACTTACACGGTGACGCCACATTCTGAACTCAATACAAAGTTACAGACACGTTTCCATGGTAATGTTGGTGTATTTAGCTTTTGCAATTATACAGGAAACACGCCCACACACAGTGCTGAGTAATGCACCATAAACTAAAAGACATTTGTCCATGATATTAATTATTTGACTTATGATATACTATGCACCAGTCTACAGAAATGCAACCTAATTGCCGAATGTGTGCAGGTGTCTGTCTACCTGAAAGAGGCCGTGGTGGTGGACCACGCCATCCTGGTTGTGCAGCAGAGAGAGGAGGGAGTACTCTGTGTGCAGCAGCATCTTCCCCTGCCTCTCCTCCTGAGTCTCCCCTGCAGAGTCCACTCGCTCCTCCAGCGTAAGGATCTGCAGTAAACACACGTGAGGACAGAGCAAACATTAGGTCACAAGACAAGAGCTCATACATCCGTGCAGTGGAGATGGTATAAGAGGTTTACAGCTTTAAAACAGTGGCTCATAGATAAAGCAAAAAAGCTGTACAGCAGACAGGGAGGCTCTGTAGTCACGGGTATGAGGGGAGGCGCTGACTCACTACACAGTCGTGGGGGTTAAAAGTCGACATTCCAGGTGGGCGCTACCTTCCATACACACCCCCCATAGCCCCCTCCCGTGTGTAACAGACATTGGATAGCCCCAATAAACAGATCGCCCAGCTGAGATTTTGTTGTTTGCACCAGACGGAAACAGGGGGCCATAAAATGAACACCAACGAAGGAAGGTCAAAGGTTCAGATGTCTACTGGGACATCATAGCTTTGTTTCGAATTACATTTTTATTGAAGCATGTGCTTAACTCGCCGAGTTTGTGAGAAAGAGAACCCCCCCAAGAACAACTTACTTTGAGCTGATAGAAGTCATCGGTGCCGTCCTTTCTGGCCAGACATTGCACTATGCTGGGCACGGGTGAGTTGCCCAGGCGAGGCCCTGCAGGGATAAGAAAAGAAACAGCTGCATGACCAAAAGGCAGGCTACAGGACGGAGTGTGTGCTCCCACTGCAACTCATTAAAGGCCGCATGTGCACGTACCCATTAACACCCCGAGTGTAATGTTTTCTTTGGCACTCTGCATTGCAAATAGTGGAGGGGTCGTGTAGTAGAAAACAGAGAAGTTTGAGAGAAAGGCAGAGACACATTTTCCCAGAGGGAGGGAATAAGCTTGCTCCAACACAGACTGGGACCTTTCTGGCCCATGTCGGGGGGGGGGGGGGGATCAGCGAAATTCTTCACATTCTTGTCTTAGGCGTGCGTATACACAGGGACACCCCACGACTCACTTTGCATTCCATATCCATACTTTTGGGGTTCAGGGAAAAAATAAAATAAAAAATGGTTGCTCCCTTACCAAGGATGAAGGGCCCGGCTCTCTTGGCGTTACTGCCGGATATCCCGGGACATTGAAGCTTGCTGGCCCTGCCTGATGCATCTCCAGCCCCCCTCTCCGACGAGCGCCGCTTGGACATACTGGAGCTGCACAGGGGAATAAATCTGATTAGTACACAGGATAAAGACAGTCAAGTTAAACGGTAAGAGCATCCACGTGACCGCATGGACAAAACTCTGAACCGATTACGAAATAGCAGCAATTTGTAACCAAGCAATGGCTTTATAAACGGTCTGTTTAGAAAGAAAGACTATACCCAGAGCTGCAGCAGTAGTACTACAGAATGCACTTATTAGTGAATAGAGGAGAGAGGTAAACTTCAGGGCAGCTCCTCCCAGCCTATTTTAAATATCCCTCCCACACATTTACCGACACCTCAGTGTGAATGTGAGGCCATTACGGTTCCATTCAGAATGATGGTTGCTGGCGTCAAGGGTGACACCTCAGATTCAATCTCCCCAACAGGCAATGCGCATGTGCCACAATCTGCAATTTAAATGCATTACACTGGCACACAATTTTGAATTTGAGTCTCAGCACTGAAACATATATCTTGGGTTTAGAAAAATTTTTTAAAAATCCTTCCGCTCTCAATCTGCGTGTTTTATCTCAAAATCTGTACAGCCGGCTTATCTGGCATACCTTCATTGGAGAGGACATGCGTGTTCGAACAAGGCCGAAACAAAACAGAAAAAAAGCCAAGCCCTTACGACATGATAAAGAAATAGATTCACATGCCAGAGGGACCGGTGACACAGTGTGACACATCATCGTTACACAAACTACTTTAACTGCCACAGCAGATCTACCTCCCAGAATTCAGAGAGCAAGAGGTATGCCTTGTTTACTGACTGGAGTTCCTATGTGATGAAACCCCATCTGTTTCCCGTAACAAGGAAGTAGTGCCTTGGACCGAGAGGAATGAGTCACCCCGCTGTCGTCCTCACTTTCCATTGGACAGAAATGCTTTACCGACCAGGTGATGACACCAATGATTGTAAGACAAATGTACCAACAAGCCTCTGACATGTGCCACATCAAGTGAAAAAAAAGAATCACCTCATAGAAGTTACATCTACAAGACAGGCAACACAAAGTGACATATCTGAAGTAAAAATGTCACGAACTGATAGCAGCGGTGTTCATATTTTAGCCAACTTAACAAGAGAGGTGATTCAGACTAATAACATCCAAAATATCTCATAAACTGCAAACCAGACAGTGAATGGAGAGCTGACAAAGCCCAAAACTACTTCAGGATATGAAACCAGTCTTGCAAATGGAACAAACTTAGAGAAATGTAATATTCTTAATGAATTAGGCCCTCTTCCTGTTTCAAAACTAATCGTGCACCACTCGCCAGTTGGCATTTTTGGGCAGAGGGGAGGCAGGACAGTTGGCAGTCAGTATGGGCTGGTATGAATTCTCACTTCCATGAGGCTTTTTGTGATCCCAGACAGCAGACAGTGTCATCGTCATGTCTCTCGCCCATCTGTCTCCATCTCCACTAGTCATCACCCACTGAGTCTGATGAGCTGAGGTTTTCTGACGGCATTTATGGCACAAGCCAGGGTGACACCGTCACCCTGCCAATAGTAAGAGAGCATCTCACTCTAGAGCATGCAAGGCGAAGCAATGGATAATCAACTACTGCAATTCATAAGGCTCCTGGGAAAAAAGAAAAAGAAAAAGGTTGGCAGAATTGAAAATGTACCGTTCCCATTGCTGCCAGATTACTATTAAATTGTTGGTCGAGTGCTAGAAAGGCTGATGATTGAGTAAAATAAGCAGACAGAGCCCAAACTAGAAAAACATACGAATCCATGCACCTGAAAACACACTAATCAGACTCTACGTATGCAAAACACAATGCAAATGGTCCCACGGCCATTCATCTACCTACCAAACACCAGCTGTATTGTGGAGCCAACCCCAGACACATCTAAAAAGCAAAAGGTCAATGCTACCAACTAATGCACACTGACCTAAATGACATCAGCGCAATGACAGCACACAGCTATCCTTTCCCGACACTGCTGTGCCTCTCTGCACAGCCAGTGATCTGGCAAGCAAGGCTGCCTCTGCCTCTGACTGTACCAGAGGGAGGACAAGAACAGATACAGCCTCTGAATCATATCACACAAACAAAAAAAAAAAAAAAAAAAAAGGAGGAGAGACACGCTGCCGGTGCCCACGAGAAATGTGGGCTCCTTAAATAGTATATGAACAAAACAACCACGTAGGTGTCTCAGGATCCACCCACCCAGACTCCGGGACACTTGTCTGGCTCTCTATAAGAACAGCTTGATTGCAAAAAAATAAAATAAAAAAATCAAGATAGCATCAGGATGGACAAAAGACAGCATAAGGACACTACAGCAGGTGGCAAATATACAAGTCCATAACCAAATCTGGAGCGATCATGAAGCCAGAGAGATAGTATGACCCGAAATTAATGAATCCACAAATAGATCAAACAGGACGAAGAAGTAAGGCAACCCGGAGGTCACATGCTTCAATCCTGCTGCTTTGAATGACATTTCAATCATTCATGTCAGCTCTGACACACGTCCACCGCTATCAAGCCTATAACTCTGACTGCAGTTGTTGACTACATTATTGCAATAACAGCGTCCTTGAATGCACAACACGTCTGCGTGTACGCGAGGTCACATTACAAATGACAAGACGGAATATAATTACAAATGCACACACACACGCAGACTGTCACACGTTGATTGGTGCCATTTTGCGACCACACGGTCTGGACACCGTTCAGTTCTGGAGTACACGAAACTAGTATAAACGCTGACGTTATGCCTCACAACTTGTGCAAAAACCACACTACATGCAGCCAATAACTCCTGCAACCAGGTGCTAACGTGTTTTTGCCCGCAACAATTAACGTTACTATTTGACCACCTAGAGAAGCCACGCAAACTAAACCAGCAATTTACACGGTGTGCGATAGTGTCACCGGGTAGGCAACGTCTGGCACGAAGTAGTTATTTACGCGAACACAAAACATACATATTAACAATGAATATGTAGCTTTGTTGTCGTACTAAGTCTGCACATACCGACTTAGTATGACAACAAAGCTGGCTGATTTATTCGGCTAAAGACGCTGCCCGAGCTCCAGGCACACCGGCCACACAAAGGGGCACACAACACAACAAGGAGTTGGGCTTTCGTAGCAAACTACACAGTGTTAGCTAGTGTTTACGGCTACTTACACACGAAACGTTATTCGTATGTTGCCTCCGGTGTTACTATCACGACTGCAGGCAAGCGACGTTTGCTAAAGCCAAGCCTGGAGGCCATTTAAACACAGTAAGGTAACGTTACAGCTGGCTAGCTCTGCCAGAAAGCTAGATAGCAATGCATTTTACCACCTCGCTTACCTCGAGCCGAAACCGCCGGGTAAAGTCTGCGTTGTCCGCTTACAACATGGATGTTTCTTGGGGTAAACGCTGCGGTGGATACGCGGAGCTTCTCGCTGAAACAGGCGAGACCACAAGAGGGTTGGTTTCGGGGTTGTTTTGCCTCTGTTACTGAAATGAGCAATTAAGGAAAAGCCTCTTGCTCTTCGCTGATCGCATCTTTCCACAGCGACAGCACCACCTGACAACGGAAATGACGCACACATTTATTTGATTGACAGCTGCGATCGACCAATGCAAACACCTGTCTGTTTTTTTTTTCTTTCTCTCTCTCTCTCCTGGACAATGGTTGCGCACCGATGATGACATTTTTTTGCATAATACAAGTTGCAAAACCAAAGACATTACATCATAGTTGTTTTTACGGGAAAAGTTTGGTACATTAAAATAAAGTTTGTTGCACTATGAAGCAACACCACTTTCAGACATTACCATAGTTATTTATTGTGTCATGCACATAAATTCCAAGCACACATATCATTGTAGCGGTGAGTTATTTGTCAGACAGAACATAACTTCTAACAGCTGAGCATTTAGATGATCTATAAATACAATCTGCAAAAAAAAAAAAACACAGGTTAACATGTTTGCTTCATAGAAGGCTCTCCACTGACACATATTGCACTTAATTCACTTCAACCATATGACTTAGTGAAAGTTGAATAAGTAAGTTACTCATAGATTTTCTGTATTATGCTATCTTTGTGTAGAAATTGCAATGAAACAGGATATCATTACTAATACACTCACCAATTCAGCTCATGAAAAGGAACATTTGTGGTTATTTACTCAGCAAACATTTGAATGACAGTGACATTTAGTAAAGCCCACCCATGTTCCCTATTTAGACTCCACTGTTAACCTTGAATTCCACCCACAGCTACCGGTTTCATACCGGTGGGCAGGTGTAACAGAGAGGGCAACCTAAATGGCAAAGGCTTATTTGAGTTGCACTCGTCTTCCTGCATTGACTCAGCAGAGCACAGGCCCCCTGGCCACATGAAACACATGTCAGCCTGTGGCTTTACAGTGTCCTGCCCACAGTCTCTAAAGAGGAAACTGAATCATAACTCGAATGCAAGGTTAGTGAGAGAAACACATTTTAGCGTCTCTTTTGCCGTGTTTATAGAAACTAAATCAGCTGTACTTTAAAGACTTTGTTGTTTTTAAATTCATTTGTTTCCCTTAATGGGACAAACAGTGCAAGTCTTCCCTTTCTAGTGCTATTTCAATTTTGTACATCACTTTAAAATGAGTGACTATTATTCATTATCTTAGAAATCACATTTGTTTTTTTTACGAATATGCCAATAAAATAGAATTATCTTGATTATGAAATACATATAAGCATTCTTGCAAATCTTGTCTTGGTGACATGTTTTCTAGTGAGCTTGGTTGACTCCAGTGAACAGGGATGACTGGCATGAGCTCTGGTTTCTGTGTGTTTTTGCAGGTAGGTTGTATCCTCAGGGCATGCAGTGTTTCTTGTCTCTCCTTTGCCAAGATTATTCGGAAGACCTCACCAGAATCCTCCTCCCTCGGATCAGATCAGAGAAATGTCTCAGCATGTCTTGCCTGCACGGTATGCACCACGCTCGTGTGTGTGTGTGTGTGTGTGTGTGTGTGTGTGTGTGTGTGTGTACGAGTGTGGTTTACTGGGGGAGTGCAGACTGTCTCACTTTGACCCATCTGCAGGCAGAGTGCACACAAATATCTTGCGTACAGATAGTTGTTGCTTTAGCAATTCTCATCGTAGGTTTGTGCTTGTGGACGGGAGTCTAATTGGGGATTACAAGCATATTGCTTTTAATGTTCTGGTTTGGTGGTAGATATAGCTGAATATAATCAATCACACATTTCTTGTTTTACATTTCAGTGAACCCTATACACTCATACACTCATACAGCAAGTGAGTTATTTAAAAAAAATAAAAAATCTAGTGCTTTGTTTTTAAAGACTACATGTCTGCATACTAAAATGCAATGTAGTAATGTGTGGTAGTCACTTTGGACAGACCACACGCAGTACACGATTTATTATTTATTATTATTATAAAGGTCAGACAGCTCCCTCTATTGTTAGAGCTGTTAAACTGCAACAAGCTGTTACAAGGTTCACGCCATTGTTAACACTCCATTGCATCAGTAGCAAAGCTGAAGATACAGTCCATACAATGTGTGTAAAAAAGAACATTCATCTATTTATTAAAAATCCTACATAGCACATTTTACAATTTACCAACTGTAGCAATACTACAAATAAAATAATACATTTAAATAAATAAAGTATGCAATTAATATATTTACATATTAGACAAACACGTCCAGACTATAGATCACAGGATAGCGAAAAATGCCTTACAAGTGGCTCCTTATACTGTTTTATGGACGTGAAGTGTGACGCAAGATAAACATATTTCTTACCAAAATAAAGATTTGAGGAAATTCAAATCACATCAGAAAGAGCACTTGGGTTTCCTCCGATTCCACCACAATATCGTCACTTCTTCAGTAGAATACAGCAGAAGTTAACATGGTGTGACATGGAATTACGGACCATAAATAATCAAATCAACTAAAACTGAGATGTATAATTAACATTTAAGATAAATGATATTGCGTGAAATTAAAGAAATATGTATTTTGTGTACAGGAGCGCAGTCCAACTCCAAAAAGACAGTTTTTCAATTAACACATACACATGTTCAACACACCGACATCGGCCCACTGTATATTGTGATGCACCGAAACTCTTTTCAGTTTACCGCAAACATCATATTACAGTGTCTTACAGCTTAAAGCTGGGCTCACCACATTCTTTGCAACTTAACTATGCAAATGTGCAGTTGGTCATTTGACAATCAATGGAAACACCGGCTCACATCTGCATTTTGAAAAAGCACCCAAAGAGGAAGGATTTCTAACTGCATGTGAGGTTTCTGCAGTGTAATATGCAGGTACAGACAAGCAGACTGGCCTTCAGTCGAACATGCCGTTGACGATGCGTTGCTCCCCGCTGCCTGGGCATTTCTGTCAGCGTGACCACGTCACAGCCCGTCCATCATGGCCAGAAGGTCGTCTCCTTTGCTGCTGGAACCGGGAGATTGATCTCCAGACTCTGTGAACTCGCCCATGATCTTGGCCAGCTCTGCATTGGCCTGCTGGTCCTGAAAGACAACGGCCCCGTTTCAGACCTGGCATTGACATGCATCTTGGATTACCCAATCACAAGTAGTGCCAGAGTGGTGATCACAAGGACTTGCACCTCATTACAGTAAATCCTGTTAGACTGGCAAAGCCTCAAATCTCTGATCACTGACTGTATAACGATAAGCCTATCATTGAGATGATTAACATTTGGCCCAGAGTCCCATCATGGGTGTTGATTATCAAGGGTAAAAGACTACAATATTTGTATCCATGATTTGTCTGTCCCGGACAAACGTCTCAGTTCTGAGATAAACAACACAACAACCTTGAGCCATTCTGTGACGGGTCCTGCCCACGCCGTGAGCTGTCCCAGACGCTACGTCACGTTTTAAACACATTTGATTTCACCCTAGCCAAAAACAAGATGCACTAGTTGGGACACATTAGAGACCAGACTGAGATAGGAGGAGAGCAGTATCCAATCAGAGGAAAGCAGTCAGTCGAAAATAAAACAAACATCGTAGCTACAAAGAGGGTTAATATGAGGATTAGCATTTGGCCTATTGAGTGGACACGAGAGATGGAGGGGAGGCTCCGTGAACTCTGGCCCACTCAAGCTCCATCACTAGCTTTGTAAACAAACCGGACACCATTTCCGGTGACTGACTTCTTGTGTATTCTCCACCAGCTCCTCCCCAACAGGAGTAATCGATCACAATCAATCGAGGTTGTGTGAGATCACTTGGTGCACCCTAAGGCCTTCGTGACAACAGTCAGGGACAAAAACAATGTCTTGTGTTTTTTTAGAAACAGATTTTTAGTCTACACTTGCCCTTAGATGACAGAAAACTGCGTCACTAAATGTACAATAAAGATTACATTTTCATTACACAAATACTGGACATCCAATTACATTAAACTAAAAGGAAGAGGTTGTGAGGACAGATAACTAAGCTTTACCTTCGTTGCTTGGATGTTTATGACTCCATATGAAAGGTCATCTGGTCTTGATATTAATGCCTCTCTGAAGAAAAAAAGAGTCACAATGTTAGAGTTGATTGGTTAAAACAAGTTAAACAGTTCAATGTTGGTATCAGTTTCATATGATCAAGTGCCACCCAACACAGTGACGGTACACAAACAAAAAAAGGAGACTCACTCTTCTTCCTCATCGGTGGCGAAGAGGTTGACTCGGAAGCCGTTGTCTGCATTTCCTGGCTTCTGAACTTCTAACCCTCCCATTAACATGGCCAACAGGTTCAGCTCCTCTTTGGCTAGAGGATTGGGAGCAACGTTGACCTGTTGATACACAATGGCTTGTTTACTTCAGTATATTGGTGCTAAACCAATTTTTTTTTTAACAAGATCCTGCTACTGATAATTGTGCATCAGTAAGCAGACCCCTGGACCAGGGTCACAAGGTGTTAATGATATAACTTGTGTGTGCATGAAGTTCATGTACAGTTTGTGTATTCATAAAATCATGAATTTTTACAGAGCCGACAGTGCAGCTGTTTCACCTTAGCGTGCTGAGCCGAATTTTTAGATGTTCCTGACATGTGGGTTTCCACTGGGCGGCTTACACTGTACCTGAAGGAAAATACGAAAGAGAGAGGATGAACCCGTCATTGCAACATAATGCCAAAGATGATCTGTGTACTCATCCAGAAGGCTTTATACTTTTACTGACTAGTGGGAAGGCCCCGGAATTTAACTTTCAAGACATAATGCAATGAAATTATGCCACAGCAAACCACATAAGTTTAAATATCTAGGACTCCGAAGCGTCGTCATCACTACACCATTAAGGACTTCTAAATATCTCACAACCCGGATGACAGGAAATCATCATCAACTCCCTGCAATTGCATTAATACAGTATCACCAAGTCAAGTTCATGTACATCTGCGGTACTTTGCAGCGTCTTACATGTTTGTCCCGAGTTTGGTGACTCTGTCTCCAAATATCTCGAAAGATCCCTCCCGGAGAGCAGCGGTGTAGTTTCCTCCATTACTGAACTGCCGCCTGGTCACCTCTTCACCACTGCAGCTGAACATCCTGGAATTACCAAATACAAAAACATTTAATATAACAATACTTTTTTACATTCAAGCATGTAAACAAGTTGTAGTAGAAACCCAAAATACAAGTATGCACCTGGAAATGAGCATGATATGTCTGTCTCCTTTAAACAATTAGATCCAAGCTGAACACACAACGAACGCATCTAAAATTAGAATGTAAGTTCTTGTTCAACAAAACCTCTGTAATGCCATTAGCTGCAGATAGGCCTGCTTAACTTAAGATTACGGTGTCTGGGTAAGGTCAGCAAGCACATGGAAGACCAAAAAGTAAACATTGAGAACGTTGGAAGGACCAACGGTACATTTTACTATCTAAGCCACTTGTTTGATCTCTCCATCATTCTCTAGAGTAAAGAGATAAACAGCCATAGAAAGTGGTACCTTATCAAGCATGGGACTTGTGTTCCATACGGCACCGGACCACTGGTGGGAAGTACAAAGCGGCCATTAGAGTTCTGCACTTTATCCTTGAGGAAAATAGACACCTGGCATCGAAGAAAACATAGAAACAGGCTTGTAAAGAAAAGAAAAAAAACAAAGACAACATAATATTATCCAGTATATTTACCCCTCATGATTGAAATTTGAGAACAAAATGGACTTACTCTTATATGCATGTCTTGGAAGAAGATAAGGAGAGTTTGTCTGATCAGCTGGAAGTCTCCACTAGACAAGGTTGTATACATCTAAAAAATAAAACGTCATTTAATAACACAAACAATGAAAAAAATATAACATGTGAAATCACCCTGTAGCTCAATGTATGTGATTATAATCCAAACAGTTAGACAGCATAGTATATCTCCCGAAAATAACGAATCAGGAAAGCAGATAAAATAAGTCACTGTTGATATGTTGACATTAATACCTCTATGAGCTGTCGGTTTGTCTCATCAACCTGGCCGAGAATGCTGGGAGTGTCTTTCACAAAGACTTTGATTGCATCCATGTGGTTGAAGGAGACGAGCAGGATGTCCTTCGGTCGAGGACAGAGAAGCACCTGGTACTTGAAAGCCATGGTCATCAAGTCATAGAGCTGTGAGGAGGGACACACATGCATACACTTGTGTGAATACGAAGCATTGATTGATGTGTAGATTTATCTAATGTAGATCTGTAGTATGCTTGACTCTAAAATACTAATGTAGTGAGTATACTGAGGCGGCAGCCACTGGCATCACTGTGCTGTTGGTGAGAAGGTGATTAATGTGCGGATAAGCTTGGAGCACTGAAGTGAAAATTTTCATTAGGCGAAAAAGGGAACAGGAACAATTCAACGTGTGCACGATGCAACGGAGTGCTACACGTGTACGTGGCGACTTACCTTGTCCATGCTCGCTTGATTGAGTCTCATTATGGAGGCATGGGCGAGCCTGTCGAACACAGTCCGCAGGGCTTTTTTGGAGTAAAGCTCCTGCGGCTTGAAGAGCTCTTCGAGAAACTTTTTGTTGAACATGGTGGTGATGATGTCATTCATAACTATTCAGGAAAACAATAAAACAAAACAGTCCACAAAGAGTTACAGTAGGCTCCAGAAGCAGGCAGCATTTTATACTATATGTTGACCAAAATCATTTCATCCTAAGCCTATCCCAAAGGCACCTAATGAAGCAGTAGCTTGGAAAGCCATCAGCGTGTGCCCTAGTTTGTACAGTAGCGGGGCAATAGCAATCGTATGCTGTGATTACATCCATCAATCAGTTATTCAAAATATTCCACAAGCTTTTCATTGGCTCAAGGGTGAGGCAAAGGTGATAAACTTGAAAAATGTAACGCTTGTTCTCAGTGCAGAAAGACAGTGTGGCGACCCCAGATGAGCGTCTTGATATAAGCAGTACAAACAAGTCCAATGCACTAGTTTTCTTAAGGCAAGAGACAATTTTATGTAGCAATGGTCTTATGGCAGGTAGTTTATGTTGCACGTGGGCCTACGAGGTAAGTTGAAATGCTCTTTAATTTGATTAATAGAACTTGCAGATATCAATCACTGTTTTACAACAACTCCCGTCATTGTTAATGTGGAATAACCAATAAAGTTTGTGGACAGGAAATGAGCATTTGATTAACGCAACCGCCTAGCTGGGTGCAGAGACTGCAGAGAGATTATTTGTGAGCTGATCTGTGCTGTTGTATATTTCTCATGCACTACCGTTTATTAAGCATGTTGCTTCAGTCTAAGCCAAAACGGAGCAAAGAGCCACTAATGCATCCAGTGCATGATTATGCTGAAGCTCTGCAATAATACCTCTCCTTCTGTCATCCACTATCCAGCCAGCTATTGTGAACACTTTGTGATTTGAAAGGAGATAGATAAATGAAATGTTATGATAACCAGATTGCTCAATAACAAAATACTTAAAACTTAAACAATGCTGTTGCACACCACAGTTGAATATATGCTAAAATTCGACACATTTATTGACAATAGAGTTTTGGGACTCAGCTACAATTCTAAATTTACTCAGGGCTCACAGTTACAGTGCCCCATGCAACAGTAACTATCTATGTGAGTTATGATTTTATCAAAGTATGTGAATATATAAGACAACCAGCTGACCTAATATTGTTAACGCTTGACCTGGCTATATATCGTTGCTTTACATTGACTTTCTATTTATTCTGATTCTTAATTCACCAACCAGTAGACGGACAAACCGACTGAAATGAATGTGAGGTTAACGCAATGCAACACTGACGTTTTACTGCAGGGTGACATTTGTGTTGTGGTCTGGATAGCTGCTAAACTAGCTACCTTTCTTAGCTTTGTCAGCGGGGATATTCTGAGCACGAAGCCGTTGGTCCAGGATGTACAGCATTTCTCCGCCGAGGTTAATGAATAGCAGAGGCAGAGTTCTTGAGGACATGATGGTATCTGGACGGTTGAATCTCTCTAGAAGACGTAGGCAGCTAGCGGTCGTAGCTAGCTTGAATGCTCGCTTGCAGGGGGGTGTGTCTGTTTGGTAAAGCCTCTTCTGGTTGCCAGGCCACGTAGCAAACAGCCAATCAGCGCGCTGTGCATTGTGGTGAACGCTCCCATTCTAGCCAGAGCTGTAAAAAGAGACAGTCGCGTCAACGGAAGTTCAAAATGCTTGTTGGTCACGTAGACTTCAAATAGTTCCAGGAAGTACTTGGCGGGCAATTTCCAGGCGTAGATATTTGTAAAAATCAGTACAAACAGAGAGAAAGATTTTCTATATTTGATGATTAGTAGTCAATAAATTAACCAATTTACAATATGTATATGGAGTAACAGCATACGTATTTAGATATCAAGTTTGTGTTTTTAAAAAAAAAAGTATTTGCTTAAGTAAGCTATTATGTTGATATAGGCGCAACATAAACCCTCGGCTACACTAATATTTGAGGATTTAAGTGTTAACAGCTAGAGTTGCCTGCTTTGTTAACATGTTTTAGTTCCCTTGTTTAAAGGAACAGAAGGAGATGTAGTGCCATCTAGTGGTGAGGTTGCAGATTGCAAGCAACAACAAACTGCTCCGTTCATCCCTTCCCTTTCCAAGCGTGACAGAGAACTACGGTCGTCCTATGGTTATTTATGATTTTCGATATAACTAAATATTACTACTAGAACCACAACAGCTATTTTTCATTAATATCTCACTGAAAACAAATCTAAATCTAAATAATAAATAACATTCCTGAGTTTATAAATAATCAATAACACAGACATCAGAAAGGCATTCCCCCTGTCCTCTGTCCTCCTGTCTGCTTTGTCTCAGCCAGCAGAGAAGTTTACGAAAGCAAACTCAGATAAACACACAGACATCTTTTAATTTAGATTGTTTGCAAAAAGATGTTTTTGGCCGAATTAGGTTAATATGTTCATGCTTGTTGAACAGATATATTAATGTTGAGGAAACAAGGAACTATAGGGTCGTTTGAGATGAGCTGCACCTTGCCTGGAAAGTGGACGATCAGGTGGCAGTCTCAGAGGGGGATGACAAAAAGCTGCAGTCAACTCGGACAGTTTCAAGCAGCCTTCAAAGAATATACAGGAAGTCAAAGAAATAGTTACATACTGTTAGATCCGATCTGTAGGCTACTTGTAGTTTTCAGATCACATTTGGATTTATTTATATTTGTTTGTACATATTTTTGTATAAATGTGTTTGTATCTGGCAGTGTATTCTATCCTTTATTCTTTTTACGTCTGCCTTGTAGAACACTTTGCTGCTCGTTGTGATAATAACTCTATATATAGCCTTTATTATTATCAGCCACACAAGATGTGTTTAGATTCAACCTTCATTGCACAACATGAGACTGATAGCCAACCCAAAATGTGTTCAAAACTAAGAACCAGTCTGCTCTCTGATCAGGTGACAGCCAGGCTTTTCCCATCATGCCCTGGGTCTTGCAGTCGGTGGAAAGCAGCAGCGGCGCCTGGCTCCAAAAACGTAGGCCGCCTTGATGTCGTGAGGTTATCGTTGCCCATGTGCACATGATGTCAGAGCAAGTCGGGATCAAGTCGGACACAAACATAGACTGTATAGAAGAAGACATAAATCTATTGAGTATTTAGTGCATAGTTTGCAATTTTGGACGCAGCAATTATGATTTTATCATCTCAGAATAAATCGTGTTGCAGCAGTGGTTCCAACCCAGAAGTCACAAGACACTGTTGAACAAAATAGTGCATATCTTTCTGGTTTTGCTATTGTTCTTGTGATACCGAATACTCTTTACTTCCTCTGCCTCTAAAAAATGATCTGCAACAGTGTCTCAAGTACACTCTTTATTTGAAGGGTCACGAACCACAAACTTTGGGAAGCACTGGTTTAAGAAATAGTTTATATTCACCAAAATAAGTTGATATCTTTTATTGACAATGTTGAACAAAATGGTTTATGCTTAAATCATGCTTAATCATGTTGTGAGTGACTGAAGAATGCAGTTTATTTACAGTAATGCAGATCAGTACTAGCACTTTGTTAGGCAGTTACACAGATACACAGAAGGCAACAGGTAACATATTACGATTGATAAACATGGATGCATTGTTCATTAGCCCCCCCTTATTTGCAGTGCGCATGAACGCTAGGCCCGCTACAAGAATAAAGAAATGATTTCCACAATAGCTGGACAGAATCAACAAACTGAAAATACTGTATATAGTGGGCCAGAATCCTTTATGTCTTCTTGCGATTACATTTCTCCATTCCTGATGTGGATTTCTCGCGCCATCCTGCAGATCTCGCAAAGTCCGCAGCAAAAGGTCATCAAGGCGTCATTGGTTATTGTTCCCTATGGTTAAAAGTGTGCAAAAACAAAATAGGGAACATCAACCTTCTATGAGGAAATGCAGTTTCTCAATTGCAGGGAACACCCAACATTTCCTCTGTTTCATAAGACCCAAGATATTGAAAACGTGAGACTCGGAGCACCACCCGAAACATGCACAAGCACGGGTCTTCTAGAGAATTGTGATAATTATATAAGTTACTTACTTGAATGCCGTAGGTCAGTCTCATATGAGTCCTTAAGGCTGCTGTGCCTCCTGGCACACAACCCAAGCAGCAGTTTTCTCCATACTTATTAGCTGTGTAGCAGCTCAGTGCAACTGGACAGATGCAACCAAGAGCACCTGCACGACAGAGTTGTGTCTCATTGTGAATTTTTGAAAGAGGAAATAGCAATGAAAGCGTGCCTGAGTGTGTCTCAGGTGTGTATGGGCAAAACTGTCAAATGTCAGCGTTTTGAATGTTACTCACAGACAAACAAGTCACTGAAGCAGGAGCACAGGCCTGTGCTCCACTCTCCTGTTTGGACATTTGTCCCAAAGCTGCCTGCACCTGGTTGGGTGACCACTGGGTTCGACATTTTTGGATTACTGGATCTGCTTCTTTATTTTGAAACCTGAAGAACATGTTCAGCTGTTAGCACTGGAATAGAGCAAAACGCTGCTGGAGGAATGACATAAATCAATCTTTCCATGTGCCACAATTGTTTTCACATGTTTTACGTGTGTACTTATATCCAATATTTATTTCCAGAGTAGGTGGCATTACAGTTTGAGTTTTCATAGAAAAATTCAGAGGTATAAGTAAATATATTTTAGTGCTTTCCTGAATAAGAAGACGGAATTCATGTGTTATTCATACAGCTCAATAAGCATACATGAATCACCCTGCAAAGCGTAAAATACATGTTTCAGCTCTTGTGATTTATAGTTGATTAACTAATTAATAGATGAATATTTCACATGGGTTCCTAATCAGAAATCTACTTGTATTTTAAGAAAATCCTGTGTAACAGCTCAGCGACTAATGTTGCTCAGAAAATATTCTGCTTTGGTAATTGTCTTGAAATGAAAAAATGATTTATGTGAAGGGGCTACTTCTGTGCTCCTTCAGTACAAAAGAACATGTGACAGCCCATGGTATCTGGTATCTGGTATTGGTGCTGCCAGAGGAAGTTTATTGGCAATGCAGAACTTTTGAAGTTCTAAAGTTTAAAGATTTGTAAATATGGTGATAATAAGCAACAGTTTAACTAAATTAAAAGTGCATTCTTAAGTGAATCTACTGCGAGAGGGGGAAAAAAAGGTGTCACTTACCAGAAGAGTCTGTCAGTGTGCAGTCCTCTTGCTCAAACTGACGAGCTGCACACCACACAGGAAGCTGTGACGAGCTGAAGCTGTGAAATACTGGTTTGCAAACAAACTGCTGTTTCTGAGGATGGGAAAGATCTTTGGTCCTTCACTGACAAACTCAAGACGATTTACCGGAACTGCTGCTGAGCTGTGAGGCTGTTTGTGGCTATAATCTCAAGCAGCTACAGATCATTTATCTGTTAGGAGGTTAAGGCTTCAAATTAAACAGATTTCCAATCTCACGTTACATCAGCACACTTGAGTGAAATCTCACAGTTGTCAGAATTGTTCACACCATGTTTTCATACAGCAACCACAAATGCATCATGTCCCTGTTGTCATACAGCTGAAGGTTTTTAATCTTATTCTATGTTTCCACTGCAGTTTGTAAAAAGAAGGAATGGGTTTACTCAAGACCTGAACCACTGCAAAACTTCCTGCAGCTTGCAAAAACTTTGTGATTGATTAAAACGCCGGAGGTATTTAAAATGTTCACATGGATGTCTCAGTTAAATATAGATACAGTATATATGCACACAGGGCTGCACGTGTTGGTATGCTAAGAGTTAGGTGTGAAAACATGATTGAAAGCATTGAATATAAATGCGGAGCAGTCATTAAGTGGTGATGCTGATTTCTCAGAAGGTTTTGTTGTACAGCATATGAAACGTAATGATGACTATGCAGTTAGTTACTTGGGGAATAGTATGAGGTCATGTTGTACTGGATCACATTACAGTAAGACCCTTTTGGTATTTGGACAAAATAAGAGACACGTTGCAATAGGGAACCGTTTCATCAACACCTCTCTGGCAGTCAACAAAAATGTAACATCATAAGCTTCTCAAATGTCTTGGGTCATCTGAGGAATGTTTATAGCGGATTAATAATATTTTACAGGCACATTGTGTCCAACTCCTGTGTGACAGCTAGTTCAAAGCCTTTTCTCCGCAAATACTTGATCTCAAACTAATCAGAGTTTAAACATGGTGAATCATATTGTAGCATCAGCAGATGCTCTTGAAGATAATGCAGGGTGTTGGCATCATGTGAACTCACTAATTCTGCACAAGGCCTGCAGAAAAATGCCAAACCAGTACTGATTGCATATTATTTAACATTACGCAATCACTTGGTGGCAACATATTTCAGTGATTTATTAGTTTGACAAATAATGAAACAGGACTTAACCTTTGACAGCTGATGTAAAAATACCAGAGATATAACATAGTGGACATGTTCGACCCAAAAAGAGCAGCCTTAAGTGGAAAGTAGAGTAAAACATTGTCTTCCTAATAATCGGTTTATTTGACTTCTCTACTTTACTTAATACTTTGCACAAATCTAATGTAATCCATAACACCTTAAACTGATAGTCACATAATTCCTCACAAATAAATGTACAAAAGAAATTTGAATACAACTTTCTGGAATGTTTTATTTCCACCATCAATGTGAAAGCAAAAGAAAATAACATTGCATGTTGGTAACACACGAAAAAGGGAGCCATTTATCCACATGCCACGTATCTGAAGGTGTTAAAGTAAAGATGTTAACACAAGCATGACGAATCCATTGTTGTAATGTACAGGACATTGTCTTTTATTGGGTTTAAACAGCTGTTATCTTGGCTGCCTCGGTGCCTGCGGAGGCTAAACGTTGCTTCATCAGCCTCTGCTCTGCTTTCTGCTTCTGCACTTCCTTGAAGACCTGAGAAGAGACACACATGACCAAGTGTCAGTGGAGGCACAAAATAACACCTTCCACTTGTTAGTCAGTGAGATGAGTGAACACCTGTGTCGACCTACAGAAAGCTTGAGTAAAGCTCTCGGACACAATAAGCATTATCGTTTCACTCGTGTGGGAAGAGACTCGTTAAGTGTTTAAAGTCTTTAGATATGAATCAATTGATACCATTAATATACACCACAAATGAAAAAAAACACATGTGAAGGGGTCATTTGTTTGCTACCTTAATGCAGAAGGCCTTCTTGGCCAGCCAGCGGCGTGTGGCCCGTCTGTAGTACTCTGGAGGGAAAGTGTAGGTGATGCCCAGCTGCTCGCACACTTTCTCAAAGGCGTCATAGTTAACCAACCTCAGGTTTTTCAAAAGCTTTTTCCTTCGGTCAATAGCCATGAGCATCCGCCTCTTGTTAGCTTTGTCCTGGAATGAAATAAACACATAAAAAGAACGTGAACTACAAATGTGAACAGGCTGATTTGGGAGGAAATGGGGACACTCATCAGTTTATGAGGAGATACTAGATTACAAATGCCACACTAATCTGTGTCAATTTCAACAACAATGTTTGATGTATGACGTAACGTGGAATTTTCCAACCGTGATCGTGCTAAGCATGTTCTTATTCTGTGTGGTGGAGTACACAGGAAATCCTGTAGCACACGCATGCCTCAAGCCAGAGGAAGGCTCAGAGGAAATGTGAAAAAGACGTTTTCATACGTGAGCGGTCTAGTGGTGCGAGTAAAGTATGATACGATACGTCATCCGACATCTTCTGTGAAGCTTTTGGGGGGAGCAAAATGCTGCTGATTGTTGGTCCTGCACTCACCTTGTGGTGTTTTTGCAAGTGCTCCTGATAGTTTCGGATTCTTGCAGTCAAAATAGCCACTGAGGAAAAAGAATAAACAGTTAAAATACGTTATAAGCTGTTCTGTATTTCAGTGAGAACAACATCGACAACACTGAAGGAACCCAACTCACCCCGGACTTCCACTGAGCTGCGGTCGTTCTCGTCCCTCTGGACTTTGGCAACCAACTGTTCCTTTTTCAGCTGCAGCTTTTCACTCTGAAGACATGAAAAGCAGACGTCAAGTTAACGAGTCTAGTTCTTTTGAAAGTGGCACGTCAGTGTGCGTTTCAAGAAACTTAATCATCATCGAAAAATAGTGGGACACAAAAAAGCAGAGTAAAATATGACGAGGCGATCTGAGGGGACATGAGAACTCACGTGACTCGCCAACTCCAAAGACAGAAGTCTTCTGACAACATCATCGGTCCTATCAACAGAAAATACGCTTGTGTTAGAAGAAATAATAATAATAATGAAGATGTGAATGCAGATTTATAATGAATTGTGAATATACTTTATATTTTACTCAGTTCATGTGCGGCATAAATGTCTGTTTACGTTTGAGCGAGGGGCACAGCTGTATAATCCATCTTCAGCATAGTTGAAGGAAGATCGCTGAGCTGGCTCTCAGGGCCTGCAAGAAAACACAACATGTTTGGATAAAAAGCGAGCATTTCAAAATGTCTAAAAACATGGTGCGGTGACACAACGCGGCCTCGTACCCGTCTTCTTCTTCTTTGCAACCCGAGCGTAATGTCTCACCGGTGGTGGAACAGCAAAGCCGTCTGCACCTGAGGAGAGAGAGGGATTGATGGAGGGAGTGAAGTAAAACAACTCGGACGGAGACGTCGTAGCTGATTTGAACAGGTTCAACGGTTGGTCCCTGACGAAAAGGTGAAACCAAACTTGCAATGTGATCTAATGTTTGCAAGACAAAGGAAGACTTGGCCTTTGCCAGACACGAGAGGATCACCGGTTGCCGGCCAAAGCTGACTGTGAACTACACGGAAACTTTGCGTAATGCGAAAGTTACTACAGAACGAATCAAGACATCTGTGACGCGGTTCCAATTAAAATGCATGTTGTGGCCTTCACAATAAGGAGCATGAAAGCTGGCGTGTGATCAATTAAATATAGCAACATGATACGACTTCAAATGTAACGATACTTATTTATATTCAAGGAGAACCAAAGACAGCTTCACTGCTCAATGTCTTTTACGTGTTGTTAAAAACCTGTAATAATGCTGACTGCCATCTATTTCCAATGAGTGTTCTGTGGCTATATAATAATAATAATAATAATAATAATAATAATAATAATAATAATAATAATAATAATAATAGGTAAGAAATACAGGCATACTGCCCTTTGTAGATTTCCTCAAAGAATCTGATGTTATCCTAAATTTGAAATCATAGCAAGTAGATGAATTAATTGAATTCTGAGTGACCCTGTCATCACTCCTGCATGCGAGGGAAACTTTCTGCTAGAGACATTGTTTTTCTTTGCGACATGCCACTCAGCATGGATCGCATGTGGTCGCAATCAATCCACTAGTTTTGAGATGCACGATTTGAAGAGCGCAACCGAGATAATGTGTAGAGCGCTGGCTGTCCCTCACCCCAGATAAAAAACACAACATCGCACATATCAGATGGTGAGAGGAAATTGGTTTTCAATATCTAACATCATCAAAACACCAAATGATGTCATTTCCCCCCCCAAAAAACACCGGTGCTTCATCCCTGCAGAAATGCAGACACACGTACAGCTGACATGATGGTGCGCAGCAGCTGCTCTCTCAGTGCTTTCTGTGCATTAGAACAATAAACTGAACGGTTTTATGGTAAACATTATGTCAAAGTATTTATTTAGTCACATGTGATTCATGATTTCCCAGCATTTGTCCTCTGGTTGAGGAGACAAGCGATCTGCTATCGTGACGCAGTAAAGTGATCTGTTAACGGATGTTTTGGTGCGTCTGAAAACCAGCTTTCACGTTGAAGTAGACCTGAGGGGCAGATAAACGTACAGCTGCTCTAGATGCTCTCGATATGATCAGAGATGGCGCATCAGATTGAGCAGAAACACACACGCACAGAAACACTAAGCCAAGTTTGGAATAACAATTCTGCAAGCCTGCTGCAGAGAGGGGTCCATATTGCACTAAGAGTATTTAGCAACTTATTGAAATCTGCACATCCTTCCGAAGCCTGGCGGTTAGTTTCCTCATGCTTCCCAAAACGTCATTTATTAACCAACTAATCTGCCAGCTATTTGTTGGTACTTTTGATGAATCAGCTTACTGTTTATTTCTATAATACTTTTGGTCCAACAATTGTTTATGCAATCACTACCACTGAATTTGTTTTCCAACAATGTTTCCCCAACTGCTTTCAGTAAAAACCTCTTTGACTTCATTAAAAGTCATAGCGAAGGCAGACGAGAGATGTCCACTCAGATCTATGGTGATATCGGAGGCAAGCTTGCAGTTTTTGATGCTGTTGAAATGTATTGCAAAAGTAGAAGTATTTCTAATATTTAGCCAACCCTCACCGATATAAATACATTAAATATTACACATACTTTTGTCTAGGTGTGTAAAATAAACTGGCAACTGTGTAAATATGAGTATGCCAATTATTGCTATTATTCTGTATGTTTCAAAGATTTCAATCAGTGCAATAAATTGTAAATGCACTTTGTTTAATATTCTTATTTAATGTGAATTCAATGTGATGCATGACTTCTGTCTCAACATCTGACTGTTGCGAAAGCGTCTTAGACATTTCAGGTAAAGCCTCAATGCTGTCTGGATCCCACGACCAGGTCCAGATCTAATAACCACTCTATCTAGACCTGTCAAATCTGGACTAGACAACCCCAGAGAAGACGGAAACGCTTTAAACAGTTTTAGATTTGTGAAACCATTAATCTATTTGGGGGGAAAGCAAAAAGGGGTTAGGGTTTCACTGATATAGGTATTGTGAGACAGGTAACGTTAGTGTTCGACACTGTTTACAACCAGGTGTAATGCATTAGTATCCTATTTTCTAAACACATAACGTTAGTCAGGTCCCTCTGGTCCTCCGGGTCGCTTCCACTCACCACAGCCGACTCTCGGTCCCCATAATAAAGACGAGCTGCATGTCCAGGGCTTCACTGACAGAGCGACGCTTTCTCGCAAAACACCAACTGAGGACTTCAGAACAGCTCGCAGAGCTATGTTTGCTAACATGGCCATCAGGATAGCTCACGAGGCCGAAAATACCCCCCCCTGAAACTATGAAAATGTGACAGTTTATCACACTCGACCCCTAGATGAGGCTCGCCATTTTGACTAGACCTCACTAGCCGAGTTAGGATCGGGTACTCGTCTTCCTAGGCTAAGCTAACAATCCCAGAACACATCGATTGAATGAATAAAGAGAGATTAGTTTCGGTTTCTGTCATGAAAAACAGCAGTTAATCGAGTCAGGGAGTCGTTGTTCCACTACTGCTTTTTTTTTTAGCATTAAAGATGTGTTGCTTAATAACTAAATTATTCAAATTTACTGTATTTGAGAAGGTTTTTGTGAAGAGTGGCTTAAATTGTGGGAGGCTTTGGGTTTTCAGGTTGAGTGGGAGTTTTAGTACAGGATAAATATAGTATATATATATATTATAAATACAACCAATATCAATAAGTCAATGAATCAAAATAGTATATATAATAGTAATGATTGGACAATCTATAGCAATTATTTGATTAAATATGGACATATAGCCTACGATATCAAACTGCAACGTTGAAGCTTTTGTTTTGAATTAATGATCCAACATAAAATTGCAAATTACAAAGAGAAAGAGGAGAGAGGAGCTAAATCAAATCAAAATACAATATAATGAATTAAGCAGAATGGTACAAAGGGGAGTCGTTTAACAAATCTTGTATTTTAATCCTTATATCCGATGCATTTTTATCACCTTTCAGTTTAATATCCATTACCTCCGTGTTATAAAACTAAATGGAAATTTAAAGCAGTTTTGGTTTCACTGAAATTTTGGAGTAAACAAATAGTCGAATTAGGAGTCCCATTTTACCAACAAAAGTGTCCCATTTACCTCATAGTTCATCTCTAGCAAAACAGCACGTCATTATGGGGTTTATGTTGATACATAAACATTTTGTATAAATACTTCCAATTGGATTTCACTGCAGTAATGTTTATGAGGACCTAATCAAATAAAAAAAACTAAATATGGACTAATGGACTAACACTGAGAACTTTGTTTCTGTCTTCATACAGTTAAATTATTTTATTCCAAGAAATAGTTTTAACTGCAAACTTGGCCTAAAAAAGTAATTTTCATTTTGATGATATATAAGCCCCATGACAAAATCATCTCAACAATATACATTTTTTTCTCCAGTAAAAAGTTTATTTGTTAAAGAGGTGACATATCTACAAAGTGTGGTATGAACAAAGTGTGGACATCATAATCATTAAATATAAAAATGATTTTAGCATTAAATCTTGCATGCATTTACAGATATGTGCTCTGCTGAATCAACTTATCACAATCGGCTCATTTCAAACTCAGAACTAGATGAAGATCTTGCAAAGCAGCTACTCTTATAATCACCAAAGTACTTCTAGCCATTTTGAGTATCATTCAAGGATAATGCTCGGAGAAAAGGAAAGTCATCCCACACAATGGCTGGATCTGCCCCTTTTACAGGTACACAATCATGGGAAGGTCCAAAAAAACATTGCTCACTCGGCATCCCATTAGTTGCCATGTTATGGTAGCACTTTGGACTGAAGGACTCTTCAGTTTCCAAGAGGGGCTGCGTGGACTCAGACCGCAGGTAGACATGAGGCGTAGGGCTGTTGCATGGACCAGAGAAGACCACAGTAGCGTAAGGAACAGAGTCGCTGTTGGAACCGGAGTAGCCAGGGGTGAATGGTGAACCACAAATGGACTCTCCCAGGTCACTGGTGTCCTCTGCACTGCTTGACCATGGGTCATCGTCCTCTTTAGTTAGTTTCACAGTGAGGTCCAGGAAGCTCAGGTGGGACAGGTACATTGGATTGGGCTCCTCATTGTCGAAGGCAACATGAGAATCCTGCAAAAGGAAAATAAATAAGGCCTGTATTTTGACAAGTATATCACTTAAACATACATACATAAGTATATTAAAGCAGAATTTGTGTTTTGTTTGCACGCATGGGTACTTTTGAACAAGCTTTAAATGATGCACTTGTTGTTGTGGTGAATGTGATAGCAAGCGGTTGCTTGTTTACACCTTTTGCACACATGGAGCAATATTACAATTCCTTTGTATTGTTGGTTCAATATTCCCTCCCATTTTAGCTCTGTTTTGGTCTCCAACTTCTGACGGAAGTATCTGTCTCTGTAGCTGCTAAATGCTCCAATATGATCATCAGGTATTTGCTAACTTTGTCTGTCTGTCTGCTGTTTGGTGATGGGCAGGTGGTGCACAGAGGATTTATCGTAGACTTTTTGCTGAAAAACAGCTGCATGCTGCGGCTGGTTGTTGGGTGTAAGGAGAGCACTGAGAAAATTTGCGGCTTGTAAAACCAAAACAATGTTAAAAGCGGAGGGGAACTGCAGAGCTGGTCATAATGATCTGTGGGTTCATCCTTTTTACCAATTCCATTCACATTGCACGTAGTCATTTGATCCATTGCTAAAATAAAATTGAAGCTTTTGAAGTGGGTTATTATTACACAAAAGCATTTAATGCTGCACAAGTCAATTTTCTGCACCTGTGTTGATTCTGATGTCCATCTCTTGATGCTGCTATTAGCCGGATCTGGAACAGCTGGCCAAAAACGCCTCTTTAGCCTGCAAAAGAAAGAAAAATGTTTTCAGAAGGAATGACACCACAGCTTCACAGCTTAAGTCAGCGTGACAGTGATCTCACCTTTTGTTGTTGGAGAAACAAGTCATGACGATGAAGATAACCATCAATAACAGTCCAACAACAGACACAGTTACAATTGCCACAACAGCAACTGCATCTGAGAGGAGAAGAATAAGCATTCTGGATGACATATCTGCTGTGGGAATAGACACTGTCTTAATCTCATGTTTCTAGAAAGCCACTGCCGAATGTTAATACGAACCGAAGGATTTCATTGGGAATTCAAATGTTGACCCGTTCCGGCTCCCACCAAACGTGCTAACCATCATAAAAGCTTCATACACAAACACATTGTTGAGGTCTCTCAGGATCACTCTCCTCGCTTCCAGGTCAGCAATCACAACTGAAAGAAGTGTCAGACATCAGATAGGATCAAGTAAAGAAGAAAATGTTTTAGAACAGTTCAATTAAGGTCTTTAACCTACCGTTAATGGGTCCCTTCCTATCACAGTAGAAGACTTTGTAGTTCCGGATGATTCCGTTCCTTTGGTCTAATGGTATTTCATCCCAGGTAAGCTCAACCTGTGTCTCCCAGATATTTTCAATTTGAATTTTCGGAACCATGGATGGAGCTTAAAAAAAGAAATATTGTGAGTCATTATTCCAGCTTTAATGAGTGATTATGCTCATGATTTGAAACCTTCAGCCCAGCAAAAGAAAGTATTAATTTCTATCCACAAGAGGGCATTATTACATCATGGATTAGCTGTTTCTAATAGATTGCACTGTTTTTGTGAAATCATGTGGCAACCTCTTTTCTCACTTCTTCAAAGTTGAGGCAGCCGCCCAACTCTCACACCCCTGCCTGCTCTCTGTGTGATGCTCTTTGTGTCTTTGGTGACTTACCCTTTTGTCTGGAGTAGGCATTAACAGTCTGAGGAAGGCCTATCCCATCCTTAAACCTCGGATACACAGAGATCCCATAGGGCTTGTAGGGCTCAAAGCTGCCTATTGATGAGAGTGAAGAGGTTAGAGTGTATCAGTGCCCATAAGCTCCTAACAGTGTGTACAGGCAGGTTGTGCACAGGAAAAAGAAGACATTGTATGAGAATGGATTCTCGGGGTAAGGGATAAACACTAGATTAGGAAAGTCAAATAAAAGTTGAGTAAAATCGGAGGGACATGGATCCCAAAACCTGCAATACAAATACTATAAAACATACCTGTTATTACAAGGAGTGTCTGGTTTCTGCCAGTTAATTCAAACTGGGTGAAAGAGAGGTCCGTTTGTAACAAAGGTCTCCATTCCACCACAAAACCAGTGAGACTGGAAGACAGCAGGCTTCTCCACTGGACCAGCAGGGATCTGTCATCCTGAGGAATGACTGTGACGTCTGATATCACTGCACGAGCTACAGAAAACACATCGTACACATTGTGAGGAAATGTATTAATCTGTATCATATTTGAGCTACTTTCTAAACCAGTTTAAGCAGGTTTAAGGTGGTCAATTTTACCTCTAGGTAGGTAAATCCGCACTTCAGTGGGGGAGGATCTCCCTGCTGCATTAGCAGCACGCAGGTACACTTTCTTTGCTCTCACGGGAGGCTGGAAGAAGCAGTAATTCTCCATTGTAGAGCACAACTTTCCATTTTCACCTGGCAGCTTTTTCACCGAGACAATGTATGACACATTTTTGGCGTTGGCACGGAATTGTTTTGATGGCTAAAAAAAAAAAGTGAGAGGGCATTTTAAAGGCAGACCTCGCACACTCAACAAGAGCTACGACAGAAAATACATCAGCCCGTGACAGGTGTTGAGCAAAATGTGATGTGTGTACCTTCCAAAACAAGATGTTGAGTTGTTTGTTCATGTGATCCCCTGATACCCTCATCCACCAGTCTAGACGTCCAGTGGGAGCTGAAAAGAAAGAGACGGCTGTCAGCTTAGTGGTTCGTCAGAAACTTGCACTTCTCTCCTCACTCTTTAAAAACTAAAACTTTCCTCTATAAGACAGGTGGCTGTGGACTATGGATTCACTGCCTGAGTGTGCGGCAGAACTCAATACATCAATTCAGCCTGTGCTATAGAGCAAAGCAATGGGAGATGTAGACATGGCATTAGCATATATTGAAAAGACCAGGGAATGGAAGAAAAGGCAATAGATTGGAAAATGTTAGAGTGACTGATTGTGTCACTGTGAATTGATCTGAGCCCTACCACTGTCCAAGGTGACTCCAGACTGGCTGCTGCTCCATTCACTCCAGGGGCTCTGCTGGTATCTGACTCTAATCTGGACGAGATATTGAGTCCCATGGAGGAGACGGCACTGGTCCACGGATTTGGTGGTTTTAACCCGGTTCACCAGGATCTATTGTGTGTTTAAGTTAAAGTTTATTTCATTTATATAGCACTTTAAAAGCAAACAGGTTTCGCACTAAAGTGCTTCACAAAGATATATGTAAGCTTAGATACAACCATTGAGACACATATGTGCATGGAAATAGATAAAACAAGATAAACTCAGAGAATTGGATAAAACAGGTTAAACACATTTTACAGCTAGAGAATAAAAGTGGGTCTTAAGGTGCATCTTAAATGTATCAAGAGACTGTCTGACGGCCTCCAAAAGGCTTTTCCAGAGCTAAGGAGCCGCTACAGAAAAACCATGAAGAGATTTGTAGACAGTTAGAAGGTTTTTGATGTTTATCTTGAAATGAAGAGGGAGCCATTGGAAGGATGCAAGGATAGGGGTGAGGTGGTCTTGTTTTTTGGACTTTGTTAAGAACCAGACAGCAGCTATTTTAATTAGTTGTAGATGGGAAATGTTAGCCTGAGAAACGCCTAGATAGAGGGAGTTACAGTAGTCCAGCCTGGATGACGTTATGGGTTTGTCCCAGATCTACAAATATGACTCCAGGCAAGCACATTATGAAGTTAAAGCATGTGTTATTACTGCATGGCTGCTTATAGCTACTGTGTCAAAAGTTAAAGTTAAGTTTATCTTGACACCAGAATGAATTTTACTCACTGGTTGTTCATTCCATTGGCTGCTGTCAGCAGTCATAAGTCGAACTTCCAGGTTTAGGTGGAAGACATGCATCCAGGCCTGGTGCTGAGATAAGCTCCAGCTCAGCTTTAGGCAGCCGTACTTTTTAGGCATCGTTTCAATCTTCAGAATCGTTGGTGGGTCAAACTTAGCTGTGACAAAACCATAAACAAAGCAAAAGCTGTGATTAAAATGGAATTAATTTTTCCTCACATTTCTTTTACTTTATCTAAAATGTGCAGAAAAACATTAGATGACATTAGATGTATTCATTTGTCACAGAGCCAGGCAGCTTTTCCAAAAGATAAACATAGAGAGATCTTTAAAATATCCAGAGGGTCATATAACTACACATAGGAGCTGGTCTGAAGTTATTTCCAGAATACTAAAAGCCTATTCTAACCATATGGATAAAAAAGACATTCCATCTACTGCGAAATAAAGATTGTTAACCCATTTCTCAAGTTGCGACCCCATTTCCCAGTCCAAACAAACCAACGGACTCAAATGACTTCACTTGTCATTTGTCAGATTCGCTTATCTCCTTCTTGAGCCACAAAATGCTTAATACAACTTTTTTTTCACGTCTGCAGTAGTACTCCCCAACAATAGAAACAATCAAATATTTTTTAAACATAATGCATAGATCTTCTATATTTCTCACCTGCGCCGACAGGTTCCAAAACTATAGGTGCTGATGTTACTTCTCCAAGTTCATTCACTGCCTTCACATATATCTTCATATCTAAGAAGAGGCCAAAGCCAGAGCGAGGGATGGTGTAACGGTGGACTCTTGGTTGGAGCTCGTAAGTGTGGTTCTCATTTGAATCCCTGAAATGAAATTAGAATTTGGGAAACACAGTTTGTGCAAACTCACAGGCATACTTTGTAAACAAAATTATATTTGCTTTCTGGTAAGTGCTTCAGTGTATTCCTGGTAGATGGCATTTACAGGCAGAATATTACCATATCTCGGTGTGTAGGGAGTACTTTGTGGGCAGGTGGGTCTCCTGCTGTCCAGGGTCCCAGCTACAGGTCAGGGTGTTCGGGGTGGTGAGGTTTGTCTGACAGCTGAGGTTTTGTGGTGCTTCTGGTGGATCTATAGAGGACAAATAAAGTGAAAAAGGTTATGAAGTTGTTACATTACGTTAGTATCCATCTACCGATCCATTAACAGGTGTCAGATCTCTTCTAAATCGTTCTCACATCCAGCTCTGATCTCCACTCCTCCTACTACTTGAAGAGGAGAGGCCTGGACACAGCAGGTGAGGAACTCCCTGGTGCGATTGAAGCTTGGTATAACAACCTCAGAAACCCTGCCGCTCTCATTGGCCACGGGGCTGCTGGGGAGGAAACGATCGCCAAGGCGCCACGCTATATGAACAGCTCGCCCAACGACCAGAGGGCAGTCGTCTCTGATGACACAGGTGGCTGTGACAGGTGACCCCAAAGGCACCACTGAGCTGGACATCTGGACCTTGGCACACGGCTGCATGTCGTCTTCTAGCAATGAGAATGAAAATTAATTTAGATGTGCCACGTTGACGAGAATCTTAATTGTAAATGCCCAGCTTTAAATATAGTTTGGAAGAATCTAAGAGTCAGAAAAAGAAAGGTGTAAAAACAATCATCTGTAAATTTCCATTTAGATTTGCTTCTTCACTCTGAAAGCACACACTCACCATTTCTCGCTCCGTTCACAAACGCCACGAGCACGACAATCACTGACACTGATGTGGATATCATGACGATAAAACCTGTTGGGCAAATTGAAAAGGCATTAATCCTAAATTACAAACTTTTATGCCCTATCAACACAATATTTGAATTGCCGTTCCTTCTGAGCGACACTGTGTGTTGTGTAATGGAAGTATTGAGAGTGATGACGTCCGTCGCTTGAAAAGACATCATCAACGTGGTGTTTCAAGTGTTTGGCGTGGCCGGGTGATGTGAGCAAGGATGTGATCTCCATAATGCGTAATATTTCAAAAATAAACGGACAGATAGAGAATGCATCCACTGCGTCATAATGTAATAGTCGAGTGCAGCCTGTGTAAGACACATGACACTCGTGAATATAAAAATCAACATTTATGACAGCTTGATTCCACATTTGTGTAAAAGGATTACACAAAAGATATGACATTCCAGCTGTTACAAAAATTAAATGTAAATGCTCTGTAGAAAGGATAAAAATCTCTCTCCTCTTACACTTTTCTATTAAAGGGATGAAACTCCTCCAAGCAGACAGGAAGATTTTGATTGCCAGTTGTTAGAAGGTAACCAGCCCTGTTGGGTATGCGCTCAATAGCTGATTGGTCATGTATAATGAACAGCAGACAGGGGCCTGTAAGCTAAGCAGATGGGAGCAATTCTACAGCATATTAACTCTGATCGTAAGTCAAGAACCTGGTTCTTAAATTCAGGAATCAGTTGGGACCTCAGCTTAAAAGTGCAGGTGTTAAGTTGAAATTAATTTTGAGGAGTGGGTTTTTGAAATACTCACCATTACACGACTACAAAGTGTTAAAATTCAACTGAACTCTGGTAGCTGCTGACAAAGCAACGAGGCACAGACATGCCTTCACAGCATTTGCTGTGTCTGTGTGGGAGAAAAGACAAAGCAGTTATTTGTCTGGAAGAACGTGGAAACTGTTAGTTTCCCTCTTTATATGAATCAGTTGGTTGATAGACAGAAAGCTGACAAAAGTGTTTACATTATAAAAGAAAGGCACATGATCATTTATATGTAAAACACCATTTCACATAGAATCCACTGAGAAACTAACATCAGGTAGTTTTAAGTGATGTTTCACATGTAATACATAAATACATAAATTCACATATGGTTTATCGCATGCAAACAGCTGTTCCTGTGACAAACCACACATACAGACTTGTGGTTTTTAGACATTTCACAATGTATTCCACAATATATTTCACATATGAAAACACGAGGATATTCAATTGTTTCCGTGATTTATGAAAACATTTGAAAAACTTTGCAGAGTTCAATTCAACATATACTTTAAAGGCAAAACGAATTAATTGAGATGATTTGCAATTAGATTTCCATAAAACCCGCTTCCAAGTATTTCTGGTCTAGAACAACATGTCTACATTTGGGCAGAAACGTTCAGACTGTCAATTTAGATGATAAGGTATTGCTTTAATAATTTGAAACTATCACTCAAACTCACAGTCAGATCGCCTCCCTCAGCACCCAACAACATACTATTTGGAGAAGTCCACGTTAAAGCGATGTGAAAGAAATGCAATGTCTCCCTGTTTCTTATCAGCCATGTGCATAAAGGCCTAAATTTCCTCAGCTTTCCTTTTTTTAGAATTTCTGCTGACCACTAATAGGTAAATGCCTGTGGCTCTGACAAAAGGCAGTCGAGATGGAGAGAGGGAGAGAAAAGATGTGATATTAAATTTGGAGTGTATTTTGTCAACAATCACAGTTTGATACAGGACAGCATACAATAAAACGAGATATTTTAGGGGTGTTGGCCTATTTTGTTCCTCATATATTGATGAAAATATTATCTGGATTCATGTTGGTGTCTCAGTGAGTCATGTCACTGCGTGTAGAGGTACATTTCACTGTGGTCAACATATGTTTCCTTTCCCGTTGCTGTTGGGGGTTACAAAACGCCCACTATCAGGATTTGGCAATATCCTTGACACATGTGCAATGACAAACTGGCCACTATTTCCCCTTTTTGGTGATATTTCTCACACTAAGTATTGTGCTTTAACTAAAGGCGTTGATAGGAGTTATTGTTTCTTGATTTAGTCACCTATCAATCATAGATCAGTTCCTCCAAGCTTAGACAGGGTAAGCTTTAGTGTCAGCAGATGTAAAAGTCCAAGAAACTAAAAAGGAGGAATGAAATCTGTTTCACATCCCTTTTTTTTAATGGATGACCAGAACACATCTATGTTTTTCTTAGCTTAACATGCTAATGTTACTTTCACAGCAACACTGGCCATTTCGAAGAATGACAAAATCACAAAACAGCTGAAAAAACACGCAAAATTATTTTTTTCATGAAAATAAAGCAAAAAACATTCTTTTTTTTACTATCTTAAAACTCATTAATACATTTTACATGTTTTCAGCATAACACTTCAAGTATCTTTACTTTGAAGGTGTTGTCTTATCTTATAATTCCTCGTTAAATCCTTAATATCTGAAGATCCTCTATCTGTAGTATTTCATGTTTGTTAAAAATGTACTGGCGTTATTAGAGAGGAAACTACAAAGGATAATAAATGGCACAAGTACAATACAGAACAGGCACAAAAATAAAATGAAATCTGATTAAGCAAGTGTTGAATAAATAATGAATAATGAAATTAAGTTGAGCAATCCGTAAAAATGGATCAGGATGCAACTCTCCAGCCTGAACCTGTCATTCAGAAACAAGTTTTGTGAAGTTTCCCTTTTCAATCTGGCACAAGTACAAAAATGAAAGGAGCGGCAAAACGCTTGATGTGAAGATAAAGGAGAGCCATCAGAGAGGCTTGCCACTCACCACACAGCAGCTGCAGCAGACCCAGAAAGACGAGAGGCTCTCATCAGCCCTGATAGCACTAGATGAAACAGTGTGGCTCAAAGCAACTCAGACTGGAGGACATGTGTGTATGTTCGCCAAGCAGCAACAGCAGCAACATCCTTGTTTTGAATTTGTGAAACTTCACTATTTTCTAGGAAGAAACACATGACTGATGGGGCCCAGTTACGGGTAGAAAAAAAGTGGGGTGTTTAAAGATGGGGCATTCTCGAGAGAAAAGAGTTAATTTATGTTTTATTAAACCTTTATTTTCCAGGATAATCCCCTTGAGATTTAAAATCCCTTTTCTGAGGGAGTCCTGACCAAGACTGCAGCATGAAAGTTTCACACATAAATGCACAAATAACACACTTAAAGACGAAACTGAAAAAAAACATAAGAAATAAGGAATTTCCCATTAAAGAGACAAGTAACAGACAAAAAAAAAGCAAATTAATTAGAAGTACAAGTACATCCGTGTTCAAATAGTCCTTAATCCTGTTTTTAAAATTGTTCATACTAGTAGTCTAAAATGACTCTGAAGCTCACACCAAGATGTGGGTGAGAAAAACTTTAAAACCACTTTCATTGTCCGAGGAATGACTAGAATTGTTCCCCCATATGACCGACGATTGCAGCTATTGATAGGCAAATAAATCAACTAAAATGAATCGAATCTGGGACAAATTCTTTTTTTTTTTACAAGAGATATCGGTTTATTTATTCCTATATTATATATTGCATTTGAGATTGCTGATGGAGTAATAAGAACAGTCCTTGCAACTCAATTTGAAGCAATTCAATGTAATCTCTAGACAGGCGAGGTGTCTGGCCTTTACTTGTATGAGAGAGCGGAGGTACTTCAACTCTACTTGACGGCCTTTTTTCTCACCAGGTGTTAATATGGCGGCTATCAAACGCCCTATGATAAGACTCCAGGGAGCCGTCTTGAGGAATGGAGTGAGTCGGGTTCAGACTGACCTCTCAGTGTTGAGTGTGACCTTTGAAGTAACGGATCCGCTGTATCAGAACGCAGCCATCTCCCTCTGTGAGCCTGTCCAAGCTTTTGTCAGCAGGGTAATAGAACAAGCTTCTTAAATGGGATTGTAAACTGTGCCTTGACCCCCCAAGGGCACTTCAAACTACTTGCCATATCAGGTTTATTAGCTTATTAAATTGTAAAATGATTCGCTGAGACCTCATTTAAAATGGTGCACGAGGCGAGCCAGTGAGCTCACCCACTCAACTTTTAATCTCACGGCATCCCCGCTCGGTCACTCTGCCGCTCTCAAAAACATAATGGAAGCTAACTTCATCAAGAGGCGCTGGAGGAGGAATTAAATGCACACAGGGGTGGGTTTGTGAATAGGAATCAACAGGAGAAAAGAAAAGCATGCACTAATTAAAAATATATTAACTGGTTATCATGCGTTGACATATTTTGCTTGATCTTTTTTTCCTAATTGGCAGTAATGAACAAAGCGCTCTCCATCTATTGGGTATTGCATACTATGTTTCAGTGAGCAGTAAAATTAGCTGAGGGCCTGCAAGCTACGTTGAGCTGATGAGGCTTTGCTAGGTTTGATTACGGTTCTTGTACTTAATAGAATGCTGTCTCCTCTTTAGACTGTTATGCACATTAGAGATGTGACTAACCCCAAATTAGTCACTACTGGGAATATCCTCCAAAATCCATTTACTATTATACAGAGAATTACAGTAGTTAACTGCAATCACAACTGCTGTAATCACAACATCTGCTATTAATGAAAGCTTATATTCAAATCTAAAAATGCTTAAGGCCCGGTGCCTTCTGATGAAACAATGCCATCCTACTACTCCACTCAATAAGTCAAAATCAATATACTGTACCCAAGGTTTAAAAGTAAAGTTTTGAGTTCTGAAAGTGTTCTCAAATCAGTCCTTTAATCTCGAGTCAGAGATATTTTTGTGCTTTTAAATTCTCAATACCTGCCTCAGCTGTACATACATCAATGTTCGAGTGCTTTAGTGCGATTAGGTGCATGACCCTTGTTGGGAAAACTGGGCCATCACATCAACATGAAATACATAAAGAACAATAGAAGTTGAGGGCTAAAAATAATTTCATAAAATAACAATAGCAGACCTAATATGTAAATAATCATTTTTTTTCGAGGTGCTAAGTTGAAATTTAGTTGTGCACCCCTAAGAGGAGTCTAACATTGCTAATGGTGCAAGCTAACTTGCTTGAGAGTTTTAGTCATGATATTTTAATAAAAAAAGTGAACCAAAAACCCAAAACCCCAAAAGTTAGGGACCACCATGGCAATAGAGATATTCAAGTCTGGACCAAAGCGGTGAACTGACTAACTGAATTCATACAGACTTCTGGAACTGTATTCTGCAGTGAAGGCTCAGATATTTTCTCTACTAGCTGCCCACATGATCAAAACCTCCCAGATGGAGCGACCATATGTCCTGAGAAGTGACAGTGTGGAAGGTGCATGTTCCCGTCACCGCTGTTATAATCACATGTGTACAGATACTGTTTGCATATGTGCTCAACAAAGTGTCCTGCCATATGCATTTTATTCGGATGTAACCTATCTATTGTATTGTGTGTCTAACAATTATCATACAAGACAAATTCTGATTAGAATCACAATCATTTGTACATGTTCAATATACATATTATATACATATTCAATATTAACGCTAGATGACGTGTAATGCATGAACATACACCTGAGTTGTTGTACTTGGTCGAGCTAGACAGTGAGACAGAGAGAGAGAGAGACAGAAAGGAAAGGGGTAAGTCAAGTGCCGACTCACGCTCCGGCTCCTTACATGCACCCAATCCACTCCTATCTAGTACCTGTCACACGCTGGCTGCAAAATGGAATTGAGTATTGATTTCCTTCTTACCACAGGTCAGTTGTGCTGGCAGGATATAGTGGGCTCACAGAGAGCCACAAGAGGAGAGGAAAGGAACACCAGCAGGAAACGCACACAGAACACAAAACTCACACAGGAACAAATACATGTTCTTATTAACCACCACTGTCTGGGATTGTGTAAAGGGAGGCAGCGAAGGTTGCTTTAAAAGGACAGTGTGTGTGTGTTACACCAAGTGTGCACTGAGGACGTGGCAGAGCTCTGATCAACTGTGGTGGGATTTGTTTTGTGAGGCAGAGAAAGTTAAACAAGCGTATGTGTGAAATGTTGCGAGGCATTCCATATTTGCATGCTAGATTGTGTCAAACTGACATGAAGGGATTCATAACTTTTTTAAATAAAGCTATGTTGCTAAAGCTACAGGTTATTACCAGCTGTGACAGTTGGTATTGTTTACACTTTGCTAGTCTGTGTGTGCATGTGAGTGTGTGTCTTCATGTTGCAATGTGGTCCTAGAGACAGTTACAGTAACTGCCACAGAGGCTGTTTTTGAGTACTTCTGTAGACCGATTTCGTCACTGCGATAGCGACGCAACTGTGCTAGATGCAGTCAGGGAACTTTACAGATGTGTAGTTGAATCTCAAAACAAGGGCCGAGATCAAAGATGGCTCCGGTCCAAGCAGGGGCACCGGAAATATTTTGGCATCAAAAGATGGTGAAAATTACCATTGCCATTTGTCTGAGCACAAAGGCTACTATTGATGTTTAAAGTGACGAAAGCACTGCCCTTCCTCTCCGAGCAAGTAGTCAGGGTTGTCTTGGGCTTGAACCCTTGGGTGCATTTTGTCAAACAGAAATATAACTTAAAGAATAGAGCTGAACTACAACTTCCAGTGGTTCATAATATTTACACTCACAAAAACCATCAAATCATGGCTTACGAGAAGGTTGGAAATGTAATAAGAGTACCATCCAAGTTATAATTTGTTATATTTTAGCGCTCAAATGTTACAGATAAATGTACTGCTGCTCATTCCTAGATCTGCTGCTAAAATAACCACAAAGTAAAATCAAAACCCCTCGAAGCCTCAACAAAAGCTCCTCCTAGTACACATCATACTAACACTATTGTGTGGTATGCGTTTTAAAAAACACTCTACAGGTATAAATATTATTCTGTCCAACATGTGCACATCAATGTAGTTCTTGTTTTTCTCCAACTAAACCAACCCTAATATGGACAAACTGTCACTCCCTCTTTCATGTGAAGAAACTCTGTTTACTTGGCTAACTTGCTGCCATCAGCCATCTCATCTGTTAGTATAAAAGTTGAGTCAAACTAGATAACCGCAAGGGAGAGGTTCTGATCTGAAGAGATGTCAGACTTATGTCACTTTATGCTAATAACCCTTCCATCTTGCATGTTTTGACATTAACCCAGCGAGCTGCTGGCGATATGCGCTTAAAGAAATTGCAGGTGCATCTCAGGTTGCTTCAACCCACAAGTTTATACACAGCAGATTCTCCTACTTGCTGGATTTCACCGTCCATTTTTAAACCGTACAAGGGGTCATTAAGTCATTGATCGAGGGTAAGGAGGCGAACAACTGCAGGATGCAATATGAAATGTGTACGCGTGTAGCGAACGGTAACTGTGAGGACCGGCTTGAAGGGTTACTATTTCTCCATGTATTTAGTGTGTGACGCTCTGAGATCAACATTATGTATGCAAGACATTCTATTTCTAGGTTCTGAACACAGCTTGACATTACTTAAATGTGTGGTCTCCAGGTGGTGATTCAAGCGAGCTCCCTGCAGCTGCTGAACATCCTTTTTTTTTCTGCCCAACCTGACATCTTGTATGATATATGGTTACTCTTCACTGCCTTCCTTCCTGCTCCTCTTAAACTGTTGATTGCTTTACTTTGTTCCGTCACTCATTTCCTTATACACGTTCTGGATGAGCGCTCACAACAGACTCTCCTTCTGGCTCCTGATTGATTGATTTATGGGTCCATCACTGAATAACCCTTACCCAACAACCATTCACACTCTCTCAAAATGTATTTCAGTTAGGAATCAAAGCGAAGGGGTTGACATATGAAGGGTTTCTTCAATTAAGCTCGACTAGAAAGTACACCCGGTTCTAGGTCCTGCTCGCCTTTGGTAAAAGAATGACTGAAAGGAAAAATATTCAATATCTGCTGAGACAGTTACACAAGTTCTAAATCCAAGGCTGCATTTTAATACCTCATTGTCTCCATTTAAAATGCCAGACAACCAGTGAAACATGACAGCATTGAAAGACCAAGATTATTTGGACGAATAAGCATAACCGCTCGTAGTACTTGCAAACAGGAGATTGTAAACAGATTAGGGGATTTGTCAAAAGCTGACCTTCTGTTAAGCAGCACCTGTGCTCAACAATGTGAGCCAGAGGGAGAACTACCCATTAGAACCAACAGATGGCAGTCTGGTAACAGCCAGACCTCAGCGACACATTTATGATGGGGTGGGTGGAAAGAGGCACTGAGAAATACAACCGTTGGTAATTTTGTATTCAAGAGAGAATCTGGTTTTAGAGTTACAGGTGAGGAAGCAACAACGCAGGAGCTTGTACACAGATAAGTTGGACATTGTTTTATTTTCAATAAAACCACAAATACATTCTGAAATCACATTCTTCAACCTTCACAAAATGCTTGCCTGTTAACTTTAACAACTCCTCACAGGAACACCATTTGACAAGACAGCCAAGCTCTGTGTCAGAGCCTTTAGCTCACTGACATATTCTAACTGGTTTTGCTTTTTATCAGACGTCTCGGAACAGGGTTACCTTGAAAAAAAAAAAAAAGAACCCGTTTGACATCCCCTGTAGAGGCACCTCTACAGGGGATGAGCAAGACGGCCAGAGAATCCCATCCATTCTGGTCTACCGACAGCAGGGTTTCGGCTAGACATCGCTCTGTTGGTGAAGCCAGATGAACGGAGGACAGGAACCGCTCTTACCCGGCCATATCCAGTTAGAGCGCTCGGGTAAGCGCCGTGACCCCTGCTTTGGGGCAGCCCACTCAGAGACATGTCATGTCTATTTGGGACAGACTCGTCAACAACACTGCCGTGCTCGTTGTGGACAAACGAGAGCGGCTTGTTGCGACCTCGGGGATCCCAATTCACAAGGTTAGGCCGGCCCGGGGATTCAGCTAGAGTTGGACGGGCAACATGCTTGACCTCCTCAAAATTGGACTTGCGGTTAAAAACGGAGCGTCCTCTGGGAAGGCTGAGCACTCGGGCGGTGGCGTATTCACTTTGAACTGGACTGCGAGTGCCATGCCAAGTCCTGGAGTGCGTTTGTTTATGTATTCTGTCATCTAGGGATCGCATGTGTTGTTGACTTTGTTTGTGGGAGGCCATGTTAGGTTCAGTCTCATCAAGTTTCTTGTAAGGTTGAGGTCTGAACGGCATCATGCTGGGCTGCATCCCACGCCGAGCTGGTCCAGAGAGATAAGGGGCTCCATGGACTCCAGGATAATCCAAACCCAGGGCAGCTGCACGAGCTGCAACAGAACAACATGCAGAAGTATTGATAAAACGTATTTATTCTGTGTGTGCCGTTTCATCGTTCTGAAATGTCAAATATACCCGCTAATGGGTAATTATAAGAACGTAGGAACATCAATCGAAGCACACTACATACCTCTGGCTGTTTTGGCACAATACACACCTCCAGCTGACACAGAGTGAAGCACAACAGCGCTGCAAAAGACAACAAACACTGAAAGACAAACAGCACAGCACTGAGCAGCAATGGTTGTTGTTCTTTTTCCAACCACAGGACACATCAAGTTTTAAATTACCTGAGAAAAAACACCAGTGGCACACACATCCCTGCAGTCATGTCTGCATAAACTCCCCAGCAACGCAATTACTGCAAACACTTTCCACTCCTGACTTCTTTTGTAGCCACTCTGACTGCCCAAAACCTCACTCTGGCTTGATTTAGTAATTACAGACAGCTGGTAGTCATAGAGACCAAACCTCAACCACTGAATCCAGTCAACCACTGGCAAATTGCTTCATTACAGGCAATTAGTTAAAATGCTTGCTTGAAGCAGAATTTGACAAAAACAAGACATTTTTTTCTGTTATTTTTCCTTTTCGTGAAACAGTTGTAAACATGTCCATGTGAGCAGGGATGAGTCATGCCAATATTTATGGTTCGGTGCAATTTTGTAATCTCTGCAGAGGAAAAGAAAAAAGAAAAAAGACATGTCTATAGGTGTGAGTAAAAGCCGATATTATCTATTCTGCAGCATAATTAACAACATCACCTCAGAAATTTAAATTACCTGAACAGGTAGCTAATTACAACTTCTAATTTACTAGGCCTAAAACCCTGATAATGATATCACATTTACCATTACCATAACCACCACAAATTTAAAATGATCTCATTAAGCTTGACCTCTTTTATCAAAGGGTTCAAGGAACACAGAAAGCATTTGGAAGCAAAGGTAAAGCAGTAACAGTGGGTGTTTTTTTTAAATTTTGTTTATCATAAACATGTACAGTTACAATTCATGACTAATTGCAGTAAAAACCACGATCGCTTTGCTTTGAAAGAGAAAGGAGCATAGCTTGTATTCTTGCAGCTGGGTATGCCTGAGCCAACAATGAAGCAGCAGAGAGTGGTGGAAGCATTTAATAATTCACTCAAATTATTTCTGTCAGGACTGACAAGGTAAACGGAGACTTGATTTAATTCTGTAATTGCACATTCACCTTTACCCTGATCCCATACTTTGGTAATTAATAGGCCTGAGCTTTCTTTGAAGTGTGGCACGGCAAGTAATGGAATTTAAATTACAGGTGACGTGAGACCAAAGATGTGAATGCCCGCTTGGTCAAGGAGCTCCTGTTATTTCCCCAACCACAGTCTCACCCTGCCAAAAAGTGGCATCAACCAACAGACGCAATCCTCTGCTCCTACACCTGGAAGGACATCTGTTGTTTAGGGTGGACTCTTGAAGTTTGCTATTTGACTTCCAAACAGTGCACAGTCCTGATAAACACACAGCCCCACACATTCAAACTGTCTGATAAACACTGGCGGCGGCAGTGGCGTGTCCATCAGCAATGTGACTGTACTTTGCTTGGAGCTGGCCGACATTTCTCGGAACACTACAGCAGACCTATATATCCCATGTGGCCGAGGTTGAATCGATTGACACGCAGCCTTTGGAGGCGGGTGTTGCTATATGAGGTCGGCAACAGAGGATCATTGCTCCACCTCTCAACCTCGGGGTGACGACCAACGCCCTCGCTCGGCTCACATCGTCCCCCCTGGGCCTCATTTGCGATGAGCGGGGGAGGTCCACAGGATGTTGACAGAGACACAGCCGCCTCAGCGTACTGCCAAGTGACCAGTGAACTCTTGACACTGCAACGATACGATGGTCCGGTAATGGCCGTTTCAATCCGAAGCACGGCACGTAATGTGCCATTAGATTCATGATGAAACCATTCGCATTTGTTTTGGACTAATTCTCTAAACTCGTGTAAATATGTATCAAAATCAATTAGGCCTAATCATGTACAGTCCTTAGAGGATTCACATCAAAGCACATAAGCACACAATCCAATTAAGAGTGTTTACTGTTTAGATTGAAATGCTCAGCGTTCCGCTCTTAAACCCAATCCGCATATCAGTAAAAACAATATTTGCCTGAGTGTCTTTTCCAGTGGTTGTGTGTGGGCGTATGTGTGTGTGTGTTTGTATGTACGAGCCGAGAGAGAGATAAAGAGTGAGAGTTTACGCAGCCGTCCAATCTTTATGTTTTTGTGCATTTGTCTTACGCGTTAGTTTTATCTCCAGGAACCTGAAACTGAAGTTGCAGACCACAAGAGAATTGGTACCCGGGATTTACAAACATTTTATTTGCTATTTTAAAGTGCTACGGTGAATTTTATTGTTGACAAAAACAGCTAAAGGCAAAGTGCATACATTACTCTTAAAGCAGGATTTTAAAAATATCCAAGACAATAAAGCCTCCATAAATCTACATCCACATAAATTTGTTATTTATATTCATAATAATTTATAGGTGGGAACCCAGTTGAACATTGGTCCCACGTACCATCACGAGACTGCAACTGTATAAGATCAAGAGCCTGAATAACAGAGACAAAGCACACTATTGAGGCTGTAATGTGACATAAAAGTGACACAATACTGTTTGATGAAATTCATCCGGTAAGGTTGTATGTACTAAATATTTACAGTGAGGATTGTAGCTTGAAACAGTATTACCAGTTTTTATTGTTCTCTTGTTACTGCTTGCAACCTCATGGTTCAGATTGACAAGAGTACAGGATTCTGGCAACCTTGATTCTCATGGAAATGATCAATAAGCAGATGAACACACTGGAATTTAGTGAATTTCAGGATTCTCAACTCTAACATTTCTATTATTTTATTGCCGCTTCCACTTTCTCCCTCTCACCACTGTGGACAACAGATACTGAACTCTTTGAGCTCTAGGGCTCAGGCTGCCTCCACAGCACGAATATCAATCAGCAGAGGGAGTGAGGGAAAGGAGCGGAGGAACAGAGACACATATACACACAAAGAGCAACAGTTTCTGTGAGAAAGAAATGGTCGAAATACACACTGAGTGAAATATCTAAAAAAAAATAAAGATTGTGTAGAAGAGGAAGCAAAGCATTTGTTTCCACATTACCAAATTAGAAAGCGTTCCAATTCATCTCCTGTTCACAACTTTCATTATAGAGGCTTGCCTGCACCAGGCATGCTGAGCCTGCAATTTGAGACAATAATTAATTGAACTTTTTTGGAGCCTGTCTCCTCATTCTTTAACTAACCGAGCATAGACTGTTGCTTGCAATCTGTCCCTCTCTCTAGGATTTCCATATCAAGAAAAGAAAAAGAGACAACAAGATGCTGTCAGGCCTAACGTGTAATTAACAATGACACCACCAGGATGGTTCCTTTAAATAACTTACCAATTAGGAAAAAGAGCAGTCAGCAAATATTTTTTGTGATATCTTGAACAAATACCCCTTGTGGCTAGTTCCAGCACGCATGCAGTGGCTTGCATTGGGGACACAGTCGCCTGTCAGGCCTCATTTGGATGTGGTGGATTCCTCTTTGCATGGTGCTGTCCCAAACCATCTCCCCGCACGCAGCTCAGTGTCAGGGATTAATTAGCTCTGTCTGGTTCTACAGAGGCCGAGAAACCCGAGCAAGCTAGTCAAGGAAAGAGAGTAATGATGAAAAAACAGTGGTGTCTTCCTCGCAGTGTTTTTGCTATCCAAGCAAAGACGTCACCCTAACTTTCAATGATGCTCAGCAGCAAATTCTGACAAGCTGAACTAGAGCAAATCAGCATGTGCCAAAATACAACTCTCCTGTATGGTTCTAGTCTGGTAAATTAGGTATATGCATACATTCTTCCATTAAAAACTATTATTGCATTTTATCACGGCTTATTGTCTTCACATTCTGTATGTTTTCCAACTACACATACTATAAGTATTCAAGGTATACTGTCTACACCTTCTACTTTTCCTTCAGGGCAGAATTCAACTAGGTATCTGAGCTTCATATTGTTTTCATAAATATAACGTCTCTCGTTATTTTCACAACTGCATTAATGATAAAAAAACAAGATTAATAACAAATAAGGCAGAAGTTGTAGCAGTAGCACGTTCATTTCAGTTTCCCTTCCTCAAATTAGTTTCCCTTCCTATACCACTTCAGGTTTTCATTTTATATTCATTTTCACTGTTTGTTTTAAAGACCTTGACAAGTCATTTTTGTTTCCTTCAAATGTATACTCAAATGATCAACTCAATGAATATGCAAATGACAAAACACAGCCAAACATAGAAAGGTTACACTCTTATTCAGTGCCCAACGACGCTGATTTGTAGTGTAGTCGCCATTGAAATGGATGATGTACACTGGAACCCTGGTTAACATGGTCCAGCACTCAACTTTACTGTTTCCATGTTCTCCATCAGCCATTTCATCACTGCGTTTGTGGGGGATGACAGATGGTGACAAGCATTTGTGATGAATACTGTAAGTGGCCATAGTGGTGTCATGTCTTGGCACTGAATTCATCAATTGCCATCACAAAACAATATCATCATTATATAATGCGCCATCTGTTAAAACCAGATTAAGGTTCAGGCAAAGTTAAGAGATGAATTCCCTTTTATTCGGTTTTGCAGAAGAGGTGATTAACTCCTGTGAGCGAGTCAGCGGGATGAAAGTTACTTGAACCTCGATCAGCTTTGAATGCCCCACAACTGGGAAGCCGGGAGCATGCGTTTGCTGACTGTGACATCCTGTGAATCTCCTAAATGTCTGTGGGTGTGGGGCCTGCTGGTAACGCCGGTCTGATCCACTGCACATCTGGACAAGCCCTGCAGTCATAGCCATGCTGCTGGTGTGGTAGGTTGTAATGTTTCGAGAGGCTTTTGTAATGGAGCCATACACAAAGTGGCACAGTGAGTGAAAGGTCGGCAAAGGGGGGGGGGGGATGAAGCCTAGAAAGGAAAAGAGAAAACCGACATAGACAGAGAGCTGGGATGGCTGATGCTTGAGATTACTGCCATGCCTTCATTCCTCCATCATCTCTATCTCTCTGAAAAGCTGAGAAATATTTCATTCGCTGGCAAAGAAAGGCTGGAAAGTTTTTGTATTTTATTTATTTTTTTTGCTGAGGAAAGTGAAGTGGTATAAAGGCAAGGTCAAGCACTCTTTCCGCTGTCTCCTTTTTTGGCCTGCCGACAAGGGGTGTGCCTTTAATGAAGGTGGTCTGGGCTGTAATTGGCCTCTGCCTCATTAATGAGAGGTGGGCAGCAGTTGTAGAGGGCAACGCATCGATTTAATTGATCGTATCAAGAGAAATATGCATCAC